ATCACTACTTCAAAATTTGGTAGATTTTTATCCTTTTTTTATCTCTGAACATAGTTACCTCATTAAATAGTAATTAAACTAAACATAATCATTAGCTGTTTGAAAATGGAATATTTTTCGTTTCAGGCAATTTTAACTCAATTCAAATTTGATGTGATGATAAGGGAGAAAACTAAGGATTAAATTAACCAAGTTTTCTTAAATATTTGACTTTATATCTCAGGTTCTTTTTTAATATTTTAATAATATTTTTTTCATTTTTCCCAAAAAATTGTATTTAAAGGTGCTTTTTGGCGCAGAAAACGAATATCAACATTTTTTAATCGTTGAAAAAATATTTCAGCCTATTTTATCAAGTCACTCGATCGCTACGTCAAAAATGTATTCTGTTTGGCAGCTAGCTTTGGGTATCATTGATATTTCATTTTACACATGATTTTCTATCATTCTTTCATTGAACCAACGTAATTAAATATAAAAATTAGATTTAATTATACGAAAAAAATAATATCAATGCAATTCTACTGTATATTTTGTAGTTTCCTAGAGTTCCTCACATGGATGTTTGTTAGACATTGTTGGCCTTAATCCAATCTGAAGTGGAAGGCTCTAAAGATTACAATAAAAAATTATTAGAGTGCGCCTTTTTATCCTTGTTTATTCGCTGCCGCCGGAGGAAGAAACACTCGGCCGATACATTACAATGTTGATACATGTTGTGAAGATGGTGTGTTTTGTTGAAAATCGGTGTTTTCAAGCCATTATAAAAAAAATATTTATAACCATTTATTAAATATTGTTGTTCAAATGGTTAATAGAAATGGTAGGTCGTTAGCTATTTGTTGGAAAGATAAATTGATTCTGCTCCAATTATCGACGTGGTCTGTCATCTCTGTTGACCAATACAAGAACCTAATTAGTCAAATTATTACATGCACAGAAGATCGAATTAATTTCCGTTTATTTTAATTGATCGTCATTGACGTTGTCGAATTTAATTAGTTATTTAAATTTGTTATTTTCTCAAAGAAGATTGTTTTAGTTTATAAGAAAAATTAAATCGTGCTATATCATACAGATGGATAAACAAATTTTTTAAAAACATTTATTTTAAAACAAAATTCTTTTTATTCTATTATTAGGTTAGGAAATTTATAATCTGTTTCAGTTATCTGTTTAAAAAAAACCTTCTATTTTAATCTAACTGTAACGATAATTTTTTTTCTTATAGATTCTTTTAATAATAATTTCTTTGTAAAAGAGTGTGAAAGTCCCGAATATGTTTAAATGGTAAACTTGCTTCACAAAATATCTTGACATCGGTAAATTATCGGGGTGGACCGATTTTAGGCCAAAAAAGGCATTTTTTAAAAATTCTATTTTAAACTGTAATTATTTTGGTACAAAACGAAACTATTTTTCAAGAAATTCCGAATTTCAGAAGCGTTTGAGAATTTAAAAAATTAAGAATATTGGTGTATAGTGCTTTGATCTTAGTATCCTTTTTTTATATATTCTGTGTTAAATTATCTACATACTGGAGTAGGAATCGATGCGAAACGTTTTTAGGGCATAAATTGGAAAGCCAAAAATCCTCATAAAGTCCGATAGCCAAGTAGCTATTAAAGCATTAGCTCGTAACAAAATCACATGAAAATCAGTCAGTGAAAGCATTCAAAATCTTCAAAACCTAGAGAATCACACCAACCTGATACTTGGGTACCAGAACTCAAAGGAATTTTTTTTGGTGGGGACCAGTAATGGGACTACAAGCATCTTCCAGGCTGAAGTCGATGTAATTGAGAGATGTACTCAGTTCAATTTGAATAAAGTGTGCAAAAATAAGAGTATAGCCTTCAAATCAGATATCCATCAAGTGCACTTATTTCAACTTGCTTCACAAAATATCTTGACATCGGTACATTTATCGGGGTGGACCGATTATAGGCCAAAAAATTCATTTTTCAAAATTTTCTGTTTGAAACTATAATTATTTTGGTACAAAACGAAAATGTATTTCAAGAAATTCCGAGTTTTAGAAGCGTCCGAGTAATTCAAAAAAATGGAGAATCGAGTATTTTAGTGTATCTTGTTTTTGATCAATGACTAGCCTTTTTTTGGGTATATTCTGTGTTAAAACTACCATCCAAACTGCAATATTTCCATACTGGAATAGGAATCGATGCTAAACGTTTTTAGGGCATAAATTGGGAAGCCAAAAATCCTCATAACGATTATTTGGAGGTCGTGAGATGCGGCCTGGTGTGACGTAGGATTTAGAAAAACATTTTCTTTATCGAGCCAACGTTTCGATCTTTATTAAGATCATCTTCAGGGCCTGAGATTTTCAAAATTGTTTATATTTAACAAATACATGTAGGAAGTGGAAAAAACTGAATTTATACAATGCAAAAAAAAGTTTGTTTATTATATTCAATCAAAGTATTTGTAAACTAGGTCAGATTTATTTGTTATTGGTGTGGGATCTTTCATTTTGGAAAGAAGTGTGTGAATTGTTTTATAGTTTTTGAAAGCTATTTTAATGTTATCAGAACAGAGAAACGTCTTTAGTTTATGCAATAGGCCGTGAATGAATGGTATGGAAATGCTGGTTTGTCTGTATTTGGTAGATGTGATGTGGTATTATTAGTAATAGCAGATAGTGTTAGTGGTGAGCTGTTGTTGTTGATTATTCTGTTGATTAAGTGTTCAGGGTAGTGATTGTTATGGAGGATAGCATTTCTTTCTTCTGACAACTTTAAAATAGCTTTCAAAAACTTATTTTTTGGGTGGGGACCAGTAATGGGAAAATACATCAGCATCCTCAGGCTGAAGTCGATGCAATTGAGAGATGTAGTCAGTTCAACTTGAATAAAGTGTACAAAACCAAGTTTACTGCTTTCAAATCAGATACCCAGGCAGCCATCAAGTGAACTCATTTCAAACAACATTAGCTTGAAGATATTGCTGAATTGCAAAATTACATTAACTAATTAGTTAAACAAAATATTCTCTGCTGGGTGCCAGGATGTGTAAGAATTGAGGTACACCAAAAAGCGGACACCGTTGAAAAGATGGCTGCTAAACCACTGATAGGTGTAACATTGCGCCCTTTCATTGCATAGAAATTTGCACTATCAATGAGTATCTTAGAGAAAAAGACAAAGTAAAAATGAGGATACAGTGGAATTCACTCTTTGGAGCCAAACAATCCAAGAACCTTTTAGCAAATTTTGTAAGGAAGAAGGTAAAAACTTCAAAACCTAACAAGATTCAAAACAGTGCATATGAAATGGGCATTTGAAGAATCCAACATGTGAAGATTATGCTAGGAAGCAGAGGAGACACAAACGAGCTTCCTAACAAATTCTAGCCCCTCATATGCCCACAGGACTAAACGGTTTAAGATGCTTTTACTGCTTAATAAGTTTGGCCGTTTTTTCTTTGAAATACTACAGTGAAGTCACTATTTACCAGTTTCTTCGCCAAATCCCATCCATAAAGTCGATACTCAAAGCATGCCCAATAACGGAACATATGGCACCATAGTTATAAGCAGGAACTGCATTTTGATAACTTAACCGTAGAACAAATTCAACCATTGAAATCCGTAATAAAATTTCTTAAAGAACTAGGGCTGCTATAGGAGTGCTGTAAGTACAGAACGGAGCATACAATACCTCTCAAGGGTGCGCTACACTATTACCCCCAAGAATTATATTTACACCTTCACCTACGACACACTCGTTCCGAAATAAATTTGTTCAACCTATACAAATACTAATAAGTAAAAATTAAGGGTCAAGGGGTATTTCAATTCCGTCGTCGACTTTAAAAACTCATTCACGCTTATAAATACATTCTCACGAAACAGTTAGCACGAGATATGCCTATTTCAACACTTTTTATATATAAAATAGCAAGATAAATTTTTGTTTTTGTTTTTGGCCTTATGATCTTGCATATTAGCCATGGTACGAATTCTTGTGAGTTCAATTTGGGGGTTATCGGGAAAAAAGGGCCAGAGGCGACGGTGGGAATCGAACCCACGACCGCGGCGTGAGAGTCTCTCATGCTAACCACTCGGCTACCGCGGTCCCCATAAATACACCTGCTTCCTTCAAAAATTAGGAGAGGGGACTCAATGATACACTACTGGATTTGAGCACGATTTTCCATATGGAGTGGCATTCCTACACGCTCTCTATATAGAGCCAAGTAATAATACCTTTCAATCAAATGTCACACATTTAACAACCTTCCTCTTTACATAACTTATTTTAAGTTGAACTACGGATTTTTTTTAACGAGGGTATTTAAAAAAAAAATCCCATTTGTAAGTATGTCTGGTTGGAATGCAGGGCCGCTGGATTCGAACCCGGGACCTTTACCTTACAATTAATGAGCGCCGTGTCAACGCCTAAACCGTTGCGGCCACCGACGCCCCTGATTCTTCCCCTGATATTTCCTTTGTCAGTAATCATATCAATCATCAGATCAAGTTGAGTTTATGATAGTGCTTAGCCTTTTGCTAAAAATATTTTCAGCATTGCATACTTATTGGGAAATAAAAGTAGGCTTGTCGCAGTGCGGCAAGTTTGACAATTTGATAGAACCATGTTTCAAATTGTTAAAATCCATCCTCCAAATTTAAGGGCTATCGTTACGGTTGAAAGCGCGACTACATAAAGTACTTGAAAGCCCCTTATCGACTTGGGCCGTTTTAAAACAAACAACCGACGTCCATAAGACATGTCAAGGCCCAGAGCTCTGCGTGAAATATCGCCGCTTTTACGTTTCAGTCATAAACAGGCCGGAATTTCGTAGATTGGGAGAAAAATCTAGGATTTATAGTGTCGTTATTACTGTAAAAAATTGCCGGAGAAAAGTGGAAAGGGTTAAATGGATGAAGGGGGTTAGAGATGTATGGAGAAAGAGTGAATTATGGAAGGTATTTTTTGGTTTTCCTAGTATTTTAAATTTTTCTGTTTTTGTTTCAGGTTCAAATTGTTGCATGAAAGCTAATGGTTCATGCCGCAGCGCTTGTGAGCAGGTGAGTCAATGTTTTTTGTCTTTTACAATAATTATCGGATTTTTGGGACTCGACAGCCGTAATTTCACAGTCTAGACAAAAGATATAAATTTCAAAAAAGAACCTTTTGCGGGAACTTTGTGACAATGACAAGTTACATCCGGCGATGCAGCCGTGCTGGCATGGCTCTTTTCAGATATTTCGTGTCATTCGATTTGGACGTGACTTTAAAAAGAATGGGAGCCTCGTCGTGATTGGCTTGTCAAAACAATTAGTATTCAAAACGCGCGACATCCCACCGTTGAAACCTGCGAAGGATGTCGGAGTAATAAATTGTTATCTAAAAGTTATGAGGGGTTTCGTAATTTTGGAGACGGGCCCTTTCTTAGTTTTACGAAGTGTTGTTATGACTTGTGTTGTTTTCTTGTATCAACTGTCCGACTGCTCCAGCTATTTTCTTGCTATATTCTGTATTTTAATTGAAAAACAACGTTTATACTTATTTATATAAATGTTCAGCGTGTCTCGCTACCCCTTTCACGAGAAGCACTCTGGTCAAAAATTCAGGCTGAAATTTATGTAAATTTTTATTCAAATATTTTTCAAAGACATATAGGTACCAGACATGCATTTATTTAACAATAATTTCATAAAATTCAAAACAGATAACAAGAAACTATTAAATTAATGACAACCATTTTAATCAATCATTAAAAAAACGCAATAAATATGTAACTTACTTTTTTGTAAAATAATCTAATAATATTAATAAAAAAAGAGGGATTAAATTTTCTTAGATATTACCCAACAGCTGTCGACTGTTAAATAATAAATTTTAAAGTTGTAATAAATAAAAATTGTCTATTGTTAAAATATTGAAATTGAATCGTGCTTTATTTTTTAATGTGAAAGTCTTCAATTGTTCTAAAATTTTGAGAAACATGAAATTGCGCGAAAAGACTGAAATCAGGAAGGACAAATCATCTTGATTTATTAAAATCGTCTTTATTATTCGTTCCCATAATAATTTTTATATAGATTGATCCATTTGTGTTTTAGTGGTAATTTGACCAAGTTACTTCTTCCAATTGATTATTCCTTAATTAACGAGCGGGATTCGAACCCACGACCTTTGGCTAAATACGCTGATGCTCTACCACTTGAGCTATCATGACTTCGATCCTCTCTTGATTTTTTTATCTCAATCAAAACCTTACATCAAAAAAATAATTAATTGAAAGAAGAACATTGGTCAATTGACCACTAAAACATAAATGGTTTAATATTTAATAAGTAAAAAAAAGTATCACTTCACTAACAGCTCGCCATGGCCAATTCATAAGTCGCTGAGAATCGTGTCCTGATTACACTACATTTCAAAATGGCAAAAAGAGGGAAAATTCGAATGGTTGTATTAGTGTTCGAGTGGATCGAAGACATGATAGCTCAAGTGGTAGAGCAGCGGCGTATTTAGCCGAAGGTTGTGGGTTCGAATCCCGCTAGTGACACTGACTTTTTTATTTCAACCAAAACCTTACATAAAAAGAATAATTTATATAGATTATTTGTGTTATCTACCAGAAAGAGTAGATAGATGAAAATAACCAAACGTTGGCTTTTTTCAAATTAAATATTGCTACTGCATGATCAAATAGAAAAAATATATTTTCTAGTTAATTATTTCTTTAATTAAATAGAGCTAACGCGACAGAGAATCGTTTTTCTTTTCTTTTTGTAAATTTTCGTCACTCAGATTGTCTTCAATTTACATCACTCGTTATTCTTTGTAACTTGTTACATCCTCTTACTTACTCCTGAAAATGTATTTTGTCATATATGCCTTGTTAGGTGGAACATAAAACATGTACCGTTATTTAGAAAAAAATGTGTAGGAAAAATGAAATGTATGCATTCATTCAAGGAAAAAATTGTTTATTTTACTACAACCACTCGCTCACACAAACAAACATACACTCACGAAAAAAAATTTGTTTATCTATCTATTATTACTTTCTCTTTTTCTATTTTTCTACATTTCCAAATATATTTTCCTATCTTTCTCTCTCTCTAACTATCTCTCACCCTCACTATCTCTCTCCCTCTCTCTTTTTTTCTCTTTGTAAACGTTTTATTATTTTGTTTTTATGATAGTTATTGTGATAAGAGTTTAGTACTACCACTTGCTCACACAAGCAAACAAATACTCAAGAAAAATAAGCTCTTAGTTATTTAATCTATCTAATTCTTACTTTCTATCTCACTCAAGCTCTCTTTCTCTATCTCTTTACATCTTTTAATATCGTTTCTTAATTTTCTCTCTCTCTCTACCTCTTTACATCTTTAAATATCTTTTCCTAATTTTCTCTCTCTCTCTCTCTCTATCTATCTCTATCTCTTTACATCTCTACATATCTTCTCCTAATTCTCTCTCTCTCTCTCTCTTTCTCTCTCTCTCTTTCTATCTCTATTTTTTTAGTTTTAAACGGTTTATTTTGTTTTTGTGATGATTAATATCAAAATAGTTAGATGTAATAAGAATAGTTGAAGTAGTCCAAATTCTTCTCTCTCTCTCTCTCACTCACTCAATGTTTCCTCTCTCTCTCTCTCTTCCTCTATTTCTCTTTCTCTCTCTCCCCCCCTCTCCCTCTTCCCCTCTTTTTTTTCTCTCTCTCTTTCTTCCTTCCTTTCCTTAAACGTTTATCATTTTATTTTTGTAGTAATTAAAATCATTAATCCTCTATACACTATTCGACCTGCAACATCTTTTCCTAACTTTTTATCCCTCACTCTTTATTATTTAACTTTTATTATTGCATTTTTGTGATAATTAATATCGTAATAGTTGTAGGTAAGAAAAATAGTCGAAGTATACCATATTCTCTCTCTCTCTCTCTCTTCCTTCCTTTCTTTCCTTAAACTTTTTATTAATTTATTTTTGTATTAACGAAAATAATACATTTGGAAGTAAGTAAGAGTGGTCATTGTATCTCCGTACAACATAGTATTTTTTCTTTTTGTGAAATTTGAAGTAATAATTTGTTGCCAGTAAGTAAGAGTGGTCAAAGTATACCATATTCTCTCTCTCTCTCTCTCTCTCTCTCTCTCTCTCTCTCTCTCGCTCTCTCTCCAGTAGATAACGTTGGATATGTTGAATTGTTTTACTTCAAAATTCACGCTTGTATGCAGTGAACAGTACGGAACCATACTTTTTCAAATAGTTTGAATATCAAAAGTTGAAACTCAAAGCCTGAAAATAAGAATATAATTATGAAATTGTAAAAATAAAAATTGATAAGTAATGTGCTATAAATTTGTTTTTTGAATAAGTTTGAAGGAAAGACACATAGCATGTTCAACATTGGTTAGGGGGAAAAATAATGAACATATAACGAACATGCTCGCGTATTTTCAAGCAGAAAAGCACGCGTTGTTTGCAGTCCGTCGTACAAACCAGACACGGCTAATCAGTGTACAACCTAGTTAAAATGTAATCCCCTTTTCCAATGGAGAACGTTGGCAAATCGATCCACATTGTCTTTGGAAGTTTTCCAACAGTTTCATCTCCCTTCGTGACGTGTTGTGAAAATCGATCTTATCCCGGGTGTATGTAAGTGTAAAAAGCGGAAACAAGTGGATTTATGAGCGATTTTCAACAATTAACAACCTCTTCTTGCATATTTATGCTACACCGTCAAATATTAATTTATAAACACTTCTGGAAATCTTAGAAAACATCCTTACTTTATTCAGTTCCAAATAGCACGTTCAGATAAAATACATGCAGAGATCATACAATTTACTTATTCATCTTTAAAACTGCCGCCCGACTGGCATTTGCCGCTCTATAGGTTCTGAGTTCGATTCCCGGTATTCCCTTTGGGATTTTTGTGAATAACGTTATAAGGTGGATTTACATCTGGTTTTAGACTCTCAGTGTGTAGTAACACTTTAATATTTTATAGATTACGGTTTGATGTAATCTTAAATATTGTTTCATTGCGTAGATGTAACATCAAAGAAGGTAAATTGTGTTTAAAGTAGAAGAAGGCTGCTCGAAAAAACATTTTTGAAAAATGGCAAAAAGGAGGGAAAATTCAAAAGGTGGGGTTGAGGAAGTTAGTGTCCGAGTGGTTCGAAGTCACGATAGCTCAAGTGGTAGAGCAGCGGCGTATCTAGCCGAAGATCGTGGGTTCGAATCCCGCTCGTGACACTGACTTTTTTTATCTCAAATAAAAACGCCTTAATTAATTGAAAGATATTAATTGGTCAAGCGGACCACGAAACTAGTGAATTTAATTATTTTAAACAATTCGAAGTCATTCTGACAAAATTGATCCCGGAAAATGAACCATTTCATGTCGTCTTAATCTCGTTTTCTGTGTCGCAGGTCTCATTGGAAAAAAAATACAAAAACAATAATTTTATGAAAATGATCCAACTTTTAATAACTTTTTTAACGCAGACCACAAAAGACAATTGCCCGAATTTTCGACCATTTTGTAAAAACATTTGCCTTCAATATTACAATTATTGCGAGTTTCAGTAGACAAACTAACTTTTATGCCTTTTTCAGGAGAAGTTTTATCGTTGCAAAAAAGTTACTTGTCTATTCGTTTTGTTAGTTTCAAAAAGAGGGCACTTTTGTCTCATCTAAATATTGAAGTTATCCGCGGACAGCTGTCAGGAATTCAAGTCCCATTTTGAAGTATTTGCAAAAAAGTTACTTCTCTATTCGTTTCGTTACTTTCAAAAAGTGGGCACTTTTGTGTCATCTAAATATTGAAGTTATTTGAGACTGTCAGGCATCCATTTTGAAGTATACCTTAGTCTTGTTAACTCCGCTTTCCAAAATATATTTTGGACACAGGAAGGACATTATTTAACGTGAAAAACATACTTTACCGTGTACGATTCGAAGTACTGTATAAGTTGTTTTGTTAACCAAAAAAGTAACCTTGTCGGGGGTTGCTTTCTATTCGACAAATCCGTTGATACCTCATACATAAGACGAATAGGTTGAA